CAGCCCCTCACCCAGGCTGGCCAGGCACCCCAGCGGGACCCCCACCCTGATCCAGGACACCCTTCAGGGCAAACCAGCCAGCCCCCACCCATGCACCAGGCCTCTATCCTATATAATAAAAGGGTAATATGCAAACTGACCCTAACAGCAGAATGACTGGGAATGACTGGTCACTATGACACACACTGACCACCAGGTGGCAGATGCTCAATGCAGGAGCTGCCCCTTGGTGGTCAGTGCGCTCCCACAGTGGGAGCTCTGCTCAGCCACAAGCCAGGCTGACGGCTGCCAGTACAGTGGTGGTGGTGGGAGCCTCTCCCGCCTCCTCAGCAGCGCTAAGGATGTCCGACTGCAGATTAGGCCTGCTCCCCGCTGGCAAGTGGACATCCCCTGAGGGCTGCCGGGCTACCAGAGGGATGTCTGACTGCCAGCTTGGGCCAGATCCCCCAGGGAGCAGGCCTAAGCCAGCAGGTGGACATCCTCCGAGGGGTCCCAGACTGCAAGAGGGCATAGGCCGGGCTGAGGGACCCCCCCCGCCCCCCCCAGTGCACAAATTTTTGTGCACCGGGCCTCTAGTACTTATATATGTGTGACACCTATATACACATATAGATGCACACACATCTGTAAAATATAATGTAAATATTTATATACATATGTGAATATTCCATCCAAAATGTAACCACTCATGACCTCCTCTACTGTTCTCTCCAATCCAAGACTACTGCAAAGCTGCTTGCCCTAACTCCTCTGTTGCATCCCTGCACTCTTCCCCTGTAGCCAGAATAATTTTTAAAATGGAAGCTGGGTCATATCTGTCCTTGGCTCATCACTGGTAGTAACTGCACATGTCAATCAGAATAAAATCCTCAGAGGATACATATACCCTGACAGCCTGTAGAAAATAGCCTCACTACCCATACTCATCACTTTTATCCCTTTACCTTGCTTTATTTTTCCTTATAGTTCTTATTACCAACAGACATACCATTTAGTTTTATTTATTTATAATTAGTCTCTCCACCACTGGTATATAAGCTACATGAGAGCAGGGACTTTATCTTTCCGCTTTACATCTCTAACATCTAGAACAGTGCCAGGCATAAAGTAGACAATGAATGAATGAATGAATGAATGGGATCATCATAAAAAACATAGGGAATAGACATAATGTGTATGTTTAGTCTTTTTTTATAGGTTAGGAAACTAAAAGAATGAGATTACATTAGGAAACGAAAAATGAAATTACTAACTTGATGTTTTCAGGAGTACAGCCTGGGTCTTCTTTTTATCTCTTGCTCTCTCTCTCCCTCCCCCACTTCCCATTTCTCCCTCAGTCCTTCACCTCCCCCATATCCACACATGCACACACAGGCATAGGTACAAGAACAATGGAATAAGGACAATTCTTTTTACTGATGAAAGTAAGAATGCAAATGACCCTATTTAATACAATTTATAGCCAGTTTACTCACAACATAGTCATAAAGTGCATTCAATATATGTACATGTGTGTACAGTTACAGAGATTATATAATCCTAGTGGTTCAGAATTAAATTAGGATAGCATCCAGGTAAAGATTCATTGTATTGAAATGGGCATTTTTATATGAGATTTAGGTTTTTTGATAAAAGGCACATGATAGTACATGATATACAATGATAGTAAAAAAAAAACCTATCAATTTTCTTGCATATATATATATTAGACCTAGAGATGCTCCCTTTGGCATTTGTATAAGAAAAACTTTCAAACAAAATCAGAACATTTTGTTAGATCCTGCAACAATCAAAGACTTTTAAAGCCCTGAAGATGACTTTTTTGTAAGTAATTGAAATTGTTACAGTCAGAAGTCTCACCTCCCTGTTCTCAGAATGAATTGTAGAGCCCCCAGAACAGACTAGAATGTTTAAGGTTAATTTCTGTTTCTATATAGATATCAATTACGTTTTCAAAGGATTACCCAGTGGGATTTGCCACTTGGCAGCTTATCTAAAAACTAGCTAAATGTGCAAATTGTGCGTGTGGGGAAGGTCCAGTTTGGTTGTCAACCTAGTTGACCCTTCACTTTTGGTTTAAAGAAGAAAAGGAGAGTTTTCGGCCCTTTCAGTTACTAAATAGCTGACTATACAGTTTTGTTGGTTTGTTTTTTAACTGAAAAAAAAAATGGGAAACTTAGTAATAAGACCCTAATATGTGCTCAATTGCTAGTATTAGTCTGCCTCACCTCTTCCCTCTCAGAGAGCAATTAAGCATAATATCAAGCCTATAACTTTAAAAACAGATTCAATACAAAAATGAAACCCAAGATACATTGAGTATAATAAGGCCAATGTCAGAAGAGCATTTGTTCATCAAGTGGTTAATATCTTTTAATAAGCAGAACAGGATGGTTAAAGGAGTGATGGCTTACTGGTATACTTCTAAGTGAGTACAAAATAATCATAACTGTCCGAAGAGAAAGCAATGCCAAAGTTCATTTTGAGACTCAAACTTACAGATCACAAGGGGTAGTATGGATTCATGAGTGCCTGTGCATAACTTCAATGTGAGAATTGTGGCTTCATCTTGATCCTGCTAGTTGGAAGCTGGGTAACCGAGGGCAAGTTCCTTAACCACTGTGAATCTCAGCTTCCTGAGGATGTAAAATGAGGAGAGTAAAAACACCTACCTTGCAGGGCTTTTGTGAAGATTAGATGAGGTCTTAGTTCTAAAAATGTTTTGTAGAATATGTTATGATCATATATAGGATTATTATTGTGCTTAAATAATTCATTGAATACTCTCTTGTCTTCTCTTGACTTCCTAAAGTCATTACTCTAAGGTGTAGCTAAAGTTAACTGTCATCCTTGAAGTCTGCCTATCACTACTGTTTTAGATTAGGATAATTTAGGATGTTTTTACTAGGTTAATGAACATTTTTTATATGTTTTATTTCCTTTTTAAATATATATACAAATTTCAGAGAGGAAGGGAGAGGGAGAGAGAGAGAGTGAGAGAGAGAGAGAGAGAGAGAAGCATCAATCGATGAGAGAGCATCATTGATCGTCTGTCTTCTGCACACCCCCTGCTGGGGATTGAGCCCATAACTTGGACATGTGTCCTGACCAAGAATGAACCCATGATCTCCTAGTTCATAGGTCAATGCCCAACCACAGAGCCACACTGGCCGGACTCCTATGTTCCATTTTTTAATCAGTCTGCCTAAATCTTCAGAACAGAACTATGGCCTTCCCTGAGATGCAAGTTATTAACGCTGTACTTATACGAGAAAGCAGTTCCCTGAGACCCTTCAGGGTAGGAAGATTGGAGATGGAGATTAAAAAGTGAAGGAGATTTCTTCCTTCTACACCCCAGGATGGACACTTTCACATTTTCCTAAATAATTTCTTCTCTCTAATAGAAAAAATGCTTATCAAATGAACACTTATCCTATGCCAAGCACTGTGACATGCATTATTCATTGTAATCCTCACAATATACTAATACATCCTGTACTAGTATTGCCACTTGTTGACAAGAGCACTATAATTAGAATAATTAAGTAGCTTGACCAGTGTCACATATCTAGTAAGTAGCAAAGTCAAGATTTGAACCTAAACATGCCTAATTCGTTTCCCAATCTTTTTCCCATTTGTTAATTATTTGCCTCCTACGTTTTTAACTTTGCCTGTCTATGCTTGCCTGTCTATACCTTTATACTTTCATCCTTGGTGTGCCTGTAATGAGTAGGGTAGAGGCCTATAACTAAGATGACGAAGGTGTGGTCCCTGTATTTAAGGGACTGTTATAATCCTGGCAGGAAGATGACAAGCCAACAAATCTCTATATGACAGGGAAGAATTTAAGAGTCCATAAGGGATGGAGCATTGGTCTCCCCAACTGTCACAGGGGAATAATACTCTACCTTATACAGCAGTTGTTAGAATAGATTGAAATGCTTGTGGCAAGTGTTTGGCAAAGAATATAACTCATAGTAAGTGCTCAGTATATGGAATCTATAATGTTGCCAGACAGTCCCAGGATGATAACTAGGATATAAAGCTAGAAAAGCAAATTGGCGTCAAATTTTGAGAGCCTTGAATGCCAGTGTAAGAAGTTTGGACCTTCAGCTTGGTAAAAACAATTGTGCCAAGGTCAGTAATGGTTCTGAAAAGAAATGAAAGCTGATGTTATTTCACGTTACCTTTCAAAATTCATTGTAAGTGAGATGGAATTGGTGGAAACAGTTGGAGCTAGTTTAAAGGACTTTTGTGTTTGATGTACTAAAAGGAAAGATGATATTTGCAGGTTTGATGGCCTATACTTTTTCTTCCACAGTGATTAGTGAATGCCAAAGGCAGCAACTGGAGTCTGTGAGCTACTCCTCTCGCTACGCTCTGGGCCTCTTTTATGAAGCTGGCACGAAGATTGATGTCCCTTGGGCCGGGCAGTACATCACCAGTAATCCCTGCATACGCTTCATCTCCATTGATAATAAGAAACGCAATATAGGTCAGTACCCCCATTATTTCCCTTAAATACAGTAACAATGGTGGGTGTAGATCATGCAAAAAGCTGTTTAATTGAGTGTTGCCATTCTGAACAGAGCAAGCATTTAACTCCAAGCCACAGGGGATAAAATTTAATGTCACATTTGGCCAATGATACAATACACAGTGAAACCAGCGAAGTTTTTGCAGAAAATCACTTACAACATGGTTTGTATTACCGAGTTCATAAAAATCGTGTCAGAAGGTGTAAGATTTCAAAATGGCCCAAGTTCCTTGGCTTATGGATTCATCTATATGCAAATGTATTTCTCTCATCATTTGTTTCTTAGTGGAGTTTGATTTTTGTTGGGTTTTGTTTTTAAAATTTGATAAGTGCTGCTCTTATTTCTACTTCCCAGGCTACAAAAAAAAGAGGTGATTTTTACAATGTTATGAAAACCCTTCACTTTAATATAATTTTACTTATTAAATTTTCTTTTGGGAGACTATATAAAATTACTTTGTATGTAATGTAACTAAATGATAGGTAAAATGTTTCATAAGAGCTTTACCAGAATGGGATAAAATCTGTACTCCACCCTTTTTATTGAAGATAGTTATACAAATTAGACTTGAATTGCAAGAATAAACATAACTGATTCATTTCAGGCATAAAGGCGAACGTGTATTCTTATTTGTAGGATTGTGATCCCTGAGATACTGCTTTTTGTGGACTAAATTGTAATAATCTAAAATTACAAAATTCTTGAAGGGGATCGTCATTTCAATCTGTTACGGCGTTTTATGATGCAGTGATGGTTTCGTCGAGCCATTAGTTAGAAGTCTTGCTTGATAAAATCACCATCTAACGTCTCGTGGCTTGCCAGAACTCTATAATGATAGAACTGGGCTGGAGCATGGTTTTTTTATCAGAGCACATGATCTTAGAAAAATGTTTCTTTTATAACTTAAAACTCCCTCAGGGCTGGACTGTTTATGTTAACATGATACCACATATATGTACAATCAGCAGTTCATGAAATGCCCTTTGACAGCCATGAACTAACCAGTTTTAACTCTATAACTGCTTTGTTCTAAGAAAAGAAAAATATCCTTTGATCTTCTCGTGTTATATGTCATGAATTAGACACTATCCTTTTGCTTCATAAGATATGATATCTGTTAGGATGTATTCAGTAATATATAACCGGAAATGAAAACAGTTCAAGCTTGTTTAAACAACATCAGGACATTTGTTATCTGCTATGGACTGAATTTGTCTCCTCCCAAAATTTGTATGTTGAAGCTTTAACCCTCAATGTAATTATATTTGAAGATAGGGCTTTTAGGAGGTAATTAAGGTTAAGTGAGGTCATGTGGGCCTTATAAATTGAAGAAGAGAGCTCTCTCTCTCTCTCCATCCTTGTGCACATACGAAGAAAAGACCAACTGAGGATAGTTACAAGGTGAGAAGGTAAGCTGTCTGCAAGCCATATAAAGAAGAGAGTCCTCACCATGACAAGTCAGTCAGTGCCTTGATCTTGGACTTCCCAACCTCTAGAACTGGGAGAAATACATTTCTGGTGTTTAAGCCACCTAACTATGGTATTTTGTCATAACAGCCCATGCTTACTGACGCATTATCTCAGAGGAAGAAATTAGGGGGATTTCAAAATTGGTTGATTAAAGAACTGAGCAATATCTTCAAGGATCTAGATTTGGCCTTCTCTGCTCTCTCTTCCATTCTTGATGTTGACATCCTCAGAAGACTGGTAGTGAGATGGCAGTGACTGCTGGAGTCACATCTAGACCCAATGACATGCTTAGGAAGAAGAGGAACTCTTTCTGCCTCTGCCCCTTTCTAAGAATCAAGGAAATCTTTCCAGAAATCCCTCAACTTGACTTCATCTTGTATCCCATAGGTCAGAATTGGGTTACTCGACCAGTCTGAAAGGAATCACTGGCAGTGTGTGTGTGTGTGTGGGGGGGGGGGGGGGGGGGGGGGTGTGGGAGGAGACACGGTGATGAGCCTAGACAAACTAAAATTCACTCCTGAAACTAGTATTAGGATAATCTTTTCTTTAGTCATATAATGGGTAGAAACCTATAAACATAGGTTTGGGGTTGTTTTTTTTTTTAAGGAAGAAAGAACAGAGTGGTGAATGTTGGGTTGGCAACAAATAATGCCTATTATCTTCAAGTAGAGTCACATCTTATGTGGGAGGTAAAGTTCTAAAGTTGGCATATAAAGAGAAGAACCATGTATATTCAAAATTATCTTTGAACATCCCTTAAAACTACATGACATTTTGGAGAGTGATGTAACTTGCAGTAAATTGAGTATTTTTTCCAACATTCAATAGATTTCAGTTTCTTTGGGTGAGGCCAGATGAAATACTTGGTTTGCATTTATAGGGCAGAGTGCTATTTTCTACTATGAAAGGAAAGAAAGAAATAGCAGTCATACTTCCTAACATATTAAATTCTCTCTACAAACGGAATGGGTTGGTGGATGAAAGCACCAATGCTACACAATGCAGTAGCAATTTATAAAATCAGAGTCATTCCAATTTGAAATAGCGTAGCATAAAAATATTAATAAATTCTCACATGATTGGCAGCATTTGAAAAAATATAAATACTTTTTTTAAAATGTTAACAATTTTAAAGCTAGAGGGCCAGGTGAATAGGAAACCATGTTGTTGCTACAGCCCATGGTGGTGCCACTTCAGACAGCAAAGAAATACCTGCATTCCTATGTCAGTTTTATGAAAAATTAATCTTGGATATGCAAGTTTTAAATTATGGGAGGCCTCTAATAATGGCATTCCCTAACATAAAATCTAACTGCCTTGCATTTAAACTATTTTTTCTCACTACCTGGGGCAGGATGCTACATGCGTCTAGATCAGTGATGGCGAACCTTTTGAGCTCGGCGTGTCAGCATTTTGAAAAACCCTAACTTAACTGTGGTGCCATGTCACATATAGAAATTTTTTGATATTTGCAACCATAGTAAAACAAAGACTTATATTTTTGATATTTATTTTATATATTTAAATGCCATTTAACAAAGAAAAATCAACCAAAAAAATGAGTTCACGTGTCACCTCTGACACGCGTGTCATAGGTTCGCCATCACTCGTCTAGATGAATCCACATAATGTAAGTATCCACAAACTATAACTCCACTGTATTTTATTGATATTTAACTAGACCAGTAAGAGTTGTCTTTTTATGTCACTAACACTATCCCAAACCCACCCTTTATTTGGGGTGTTGGTTGAATCAAAAATTAATATTATAATACACAGACTCAACTAATAAAGGGAAACATTTGTTTTCTGTCAAGGTGGGTCAGCAACAAGATAGACAAATGCTAACAGGGCTGAACCTACATGAAGAGAGCCAGGGGATAAAGGATTAGTGGCCCAAACCAGATAGAGGTCAAGGTGTAATCATTTGTCAGGTATCAGGAATACGCAATACATGCAGGAAGCCAGACCAGAACCAAAGTCTCTTAGGCAGAGGAGCTCATTTCCAAGATGTACTAGACTCAATTTCAAGTACCAATAGTTATGGGTATGACCCAATACACTTAGTTTCTGTTTCCCAAAATGTGTTCAATGGAACACCAGTTCCTTGAGATGCAGGGAATGGGCTCTGTCATCAAATAAGTTTGCAAAATGCTACTGACTTTACTCCTAAAGGGTTGAGGATGAAAAAGTTTAAAAATAAAAAGGGCTTCACGTGGTACTTAGTAAATAATAAGTCAGTATCTAGGATACCTATTAATATAATTAATAATTCCAGTCTTTAATTTGGATATTATATTCTCTAAAGCAAAGGACATAAATGAGCCTAATTTAGGTGAATGCAACCTCCTGTCACTAGTGCAGATAGGAGTCAAGGTGGTATAAATAAAATGTATAACTTTTCCTGAAAATGATTGAGCATCCTTCCCTGTTCACCATCTGGAAGAGCGTTAATGATTAGTACAAGACCAATACGCAACCATCTGAGTTGATTAACACAATCTGAACTCTAGAAATATGATGACCAATCACCATAATTACATAGCTTTCAATATCTCATCAAAGGATATAATCTAATCCATCCAAAAAGAAAACAAACAAATGAATAAATTTTTTCATCACATGGAATTTATCTTTGCAAGGACTTTATTGTTAAGATCTTTGAGTAACAAACACTAATATAACATGTATTGCCTTTAATAGCTGTTTTATAAAAGATGCAAAAATGTTATTCCATATAGCTGTTTATTACATTAACTCTTTATAAAAGATAGGAACACAGTATGAAATCCTGTAAAGAACTGGGATGGCCCCAGGGCCTTAAATCCAATCACCTTGTGTGACTTAAAGGAGTTCCTGATTATTCCAGTTAAGCAGATAACAATGCAATCGACAGTACAAAGGGGTCTGCCTTAGGATTTGAATAAATGTGGAATTTTTTGTTCATAAACTTGCAGAAAATTCAATCCAGATAGGTAATACTTTATAAGTAGAACAAAAAAGAAAAGGAATAAGAAAAAGGGGGAAAGGAGGTAAGGGGGAAAGGGAAAGATCAGTAAGCATGAACAATCTGTACCAACTCCAGAAGCAGAGCTCTCAGATAAAATAGCAATCATCATCTTAAAATAACAGTGCCTGGCTGGCGTAGCTCAGTGGTTGAGCAACAACCTATGAACCTGGAGGTCAGAGTTCAATTCCCGGTCAGGGCACATGCAGTCTTGATCCCCAGTGTGGGGTGTGCAGGAGGCAGCCATTCAATGATTCTCATCATTGATGTTTCTATCTCTCTCTCCCTCTCCCTTCCTCTCTGAAATCAATAAAAATATATTTAAAATAATAATAATAACAACAGTAATCAGTTACAAAGTTCATGATATTATGGTTTTTGTATAACAGATGTAGTCATTGGTAATCCAATTAAGCTGTCTATATAAATCTGTTAAGATAATTTAATAAATAGTAATCAAGTTCAACTTCTAATTATAAG